TCTCTGGGTGAACTCAGCCCAATGGGCACCCTGAAAGTGGGGTGCTCCCCGAGTTCCCCAGCTGGCTCCGCTGACACCATCCTCAGTGGGCGGCGCCGGCCCGAAGCAGGCAGCCGCCCGGCCGGGAGCCAGGGACCAGGGGCAGTGCCCTCCTCCCTTCTCTCCTCACTCCTGGGCAAAGCACCTTTTCTGGTTCCTTTGTCCCAACTTAAACAGGGCAATTCGCAGAGGCGCTGATTGGCTCAATCCCGAGGGGGATGGGAGTCCGATCTGGTGGCCAGAACCAAGTCTAACCCGGTTCCAAAACCAGGGAGGTCACAGGGAGCAAAGCCCCTCTCCTGCCACCAGAACCCCCACCCCTGCCACATCGAACCATGACATGTCTTTAGCGTCCTGCATGGCTGAAAGAGGAAAGCCAGCTAAAGAAAGCAGCATGTTTTGAATGCTAAGCAGGTTAATTAAACAAAGGTGGTATTGCTGCTGTCTCTAGCCCCAGCACAGAGAAGCGAGCTGGCAGCCACTTGCACCTGGTCTGGATTCAGCGGTTAAAAAGGAGAAAACAGGGCTTTCTAGTTTTCTTTTTTCCCACCACTTCCAGTCTGTTCCTTCCCATAAATGATAGATAAATGTTCAGTTAAATAATCTGAACAAGCTGCAACAGGGACCACGTTCCCAGTACCCGCAGGAACACGTGCACTCAGCCACAGTCCCACTGCTGACACGGGGGCACCTCACTCTGAGCGGTTTGACTGCAACCCTCCCACCGCACTGCTCCAGTGCCCAGAATTTTCATTTCACGTAAGTGACTCTGCTGAGGTGCAGTATCAGTTGATCTAATTGCAAAACGAATCTGATACCAAGTTTTATTGGTTTTAAGAATGACAAGCATTATTTAAACAACAAAAAAGTAGCCTTTGGCTTAATTTTTGAAAAATGGAAAATAGTTTGAAATAATCAGAAAAGTGAACTTCTAGATGTGCTTTTCATGATGGCTTTTCATCCAGCCTGACTGGCTCAGAGGAACAGAGACCATTAGAGTGCAGATGCTGAGCCATGGCAGGCAAGAGTGCCGTGCCATACTGGAGGTCTCCGAAGGACAGAGTAGTGATGGGAGCACTGAGCAGCCAGTCTGAGGCATAAATGCCAGGAAAGTTGTGTTCTTGAGTGCAGCTAGCATTGACGGAAGAGAAACTGGGTGTGGGGTGAGATGTGTGCCCAAGGGCTGCACAAGCCCGTAGGGCAGTTTCTGGTAAGCATAGACTCTGCTGGAAATGGCAGGGCTTGTTTCCCTGACGTTCTTGCAGGGCTGCTTTGCTGAGTGCACCTCTGACTTCAGGAGGGAGAGGAAAAGAGGCTTTAAAAAGCAAGAAAAAGAAAGCAAGAAAGCTTTTTAGCTCAGGTGCCTGCTAAAACCAGAGACACGTCTGTGCTCATGAACCAAAACCGCTGTGCATGCATGCATCGGCTTGCACGCGGAGGAGTGGGTCTCCCAGTCCGAGTGGCTTCTGCCCAGCTTGGTGTGTCATGCCTGGGCTCAAGCTGGGGAAGAGCTTAAGGCCTTAACAAACCCACTGCCCTGGCTCTCCACCGCTTTCACCATGGAGCTGTTTCACATCTGAATTGCAGCCAGTTTGCTTCCCCTGCTTTTTGCAGTTCTCTCTTGGTGTTGTGGGGAAATGTAGCCTTTGAAGCTGATAAAACTGTGGACAGTCTTAGGCCTGGGGTGAAGACGAGATTTGTGAAACTACTAAAGACAGAGCCCTTGTGTGCAATGGCTGCTGCATGTTACGTAAGTGCCTAAATCAAAAAGGTTTGGGTTTTTTTAAGGTGTTTTTCCGCCCCACAGCCGAATTCAGTAAACGTGCTCCTTTTAGATAGGATCAGAAGCCACAGAAATACGCTGTTTGTCAGGTGGAGACCGATGTTTCTCAAGGTTTGCAGAGCAGAACTGGAGCAGAGCCGCAGAGGAGCTGAGCACATGACTGCAGCAAGCAGAGCCCAGCGCATGGGGCGAGCAGTGGGGCTGGGGTGCCCGCACCCCTCCATCCCTGGCACTGGCAGCTGCCTGCTGGCACTTGGAAACCTCTCCCTTTAGAGGGGGGTAGAAAAAGGTGACTTTAGGAAAAATGCCCTCCCTTGCCCTTCCTCTCTCACCTCCTTCGTGTGAACCTTCTTGCCTTTGGGTTAGGATGGCTGTGTTTTGCGCTGTGTTTAGTATGTCTCAGGGTTAGTCTCATAGCAAGCGCTTTTTCACAGGATGCTGTATGCCCACATCAGGCCTTAAAAAAGGCTTGAGAGAAAACGCTGGTTTTATGGTCTTAAATCATTTTTTTCTTGAAATGATGCCCTGAGGCGGGAGGGGACCAGTCCCAGTATACAGCCCATATTTGCCATCCTGGCAGGTGGGCCACCTTCATGACCATCTCACAGATGTTTGTTCAGAGCTTTGGGAGGATTCATTTATTTAGAGCAAGATACATAGTATATGTATATAAATCTTATATAAATATTAATAGCTCATAAGTTTTGGGGTTATATTAATTAGCTTGTATGGTTACATACACAAGCCTCCCGTCTTGTTTTCTAGCTTCTTGGCTTTGTTTTGTCCCAGCTAAGCACAGCAGTGTCCCCGGGGGGTGCCAGCTCTGCTGCTGGACAAGGTGGTCATGTCCCAGCCCTAGTCACGGTGGCCTCAAGGCAAGCTTGCTCGAAGCAGGGCACAGCAATGAGACAAAGATCACAAATGGCTTAAAACCCTCAGCTCACCAAAGCGAGGGGTCTCAACCCTGCGCAGGGGCCAGCGCCATGAGTGTTGGCTGGTGTGTGGGTGGGCGGCTGACACTGCTGTTCTCCTCGTCCAGGGGAGGTGGCTGCCACGCAGGGCACTGGCTTTGATCTCCGGCAGCCCGTGGAGCTGGGGAAGCACTTGCAGAAGTTTCATCTGGACGGCTTTGACCACAACTTCTGCCTGCAGCAGATGCAGACACGGCACCTCGCGGCCAGGTAAGCTGGGACCCTAGCAGGGGTCCCTCACCCCTGGAGCCACACAGCCCTTTGACACCCTCCGCTGGCATCTCCCCAGGGCTCGCCACCCGCCCACCGGCAGGGCCATGGAGGTTTACACCACCCAGCCTGGCATACAGTTTTACACTGGGAACAACCTGGACGGCTCCCTGAAGGGCAAAGGTGCTGTTGTGTACCCGAAACACTCAGCTTTCTGCCTGGAAACCCAGAACTGGCCTGATGCTGTCAACAAGGTGAACCGCCCCCTACCCCTGGGAGTTGCTTGGGTCCTGCAGCAAGGGACCATACCACCACGCCCCATGTCCCTGGGCTGTTAGATATATGAACAGAGTAGGCTCAGACACTATGTAGACACCAGAGCTAAGGCAAGTACAGGTCGCAGCACCCTGCAGCACTGGGCAGAGGGTGGCCAGCACAGTGGGGACTGGCCCCACGCAGCCCGGCTTCCCAAGGGCACGGTGTCTGGAGTGGAAGATCCCGCTGGGGCCTTGCCATGTCCTCTCCATGGGGCCTCAATTCAACCAGGGGGAGGACTTGCCTGCTCAGCCAGCCTGTGATTAAACACTGCCGCTGGAAACGCCCAGGGATGGAGCCAAGGGGATATGGCTGTGCCCTCATGACCCGTTCTGGTCCTGCAGTGTGTGCTCACAATCACTGACGTGCTGCTGCCTCTCCCCAGCCCCACTTCCCCGACACCCTGCTCCGGCCAGGCGAGGAATACAACCACACCACGTGGCTCGTGTTCAACACCACTTAAGGGGATGTTGACCTCCTACCACCAAGAAGGGTAAGTGCCTCTAGCAGGTTAGCCCGAAGTCCCGCCACGTGCCGAACAGTGCTTTCAAACTATCCTGGGTGATGCAGCCCGTTTGGGAACGTTTTTCATCCTGTGTGGTTTTCACCCATGGTTTCTGCTGGCTTTAACTCCTGTTACCACCTCTGCCGCTACGTGGTCTGTAAAGCTGTCACCCTCTGTCCAGCCTCACAGCAGCATTGTGATGGTAGGGGTATGCAGTGGTCATGCAGAACAGCTTTGCGGAGGATGGGGTGCTGGGATTATCCCTGCTGGCCACCCTGGCTCCTCTGGCTTAACTCCTATTTTGAAGCCAGCAGCAATAGCTGCACGAGAGCATCTTCCATGCCATGCATTGGGTGCTGAAGTGAAGTGGGTGCATCCATCTACAGTCCTGAATATACAACCGTGGGAGGAAAACCATCATCTCCATGTTGTATTTCCGTATGGAATATGTATCATCCCCAAAACCCTGTGACAGGGGCCCGTCTGATGAAAACCTCTATGTTTCTGAGGTTTCATGAAAAATTGGTGCAAGCTGAGGGGATGGCAGTGCCATCATATCATATGAGCTAGTACCCCTCTCCCCAGGGACATGGGCATAGCCAGCCCTTGGGCCAGGCACCCTGACTCTCACCTTCTCCTGCCATGCTGCTGCTGAGGGGGCTGCGTAAGCCTCGGCTCTCGCTGGCAGATCGTGGCCCAGACCTGCAGCGTGCTTCCTTTGCTGCAGAGCTGTGGGAATGATCTTGCCTCCAGAGGAAGTGCCTGGCCATTGGGCTCGCAAATGGACCAGATCTGTCACGGTCAGTTCTGCTACCCCGAGCCCCCAAACGAGCGCCCCGCTGCCCTCCTGCGATGCCCTAAGTGCACAGATGCACGCAGCGGTCACATGTTATGTGGCTGCAGTTCATACAGTGTAAGGGTTGGTATCATTTGGCAAATAAAGCCTGGGAAATGCTAGGTTGCAAACCAGGAGCAGAAGCACCATCAACCCTATGAGTGGGGTTTGCCCACTCCATCAGAGACCTCAGGTGCACTTACCCTCGCCCCCTGCCCCCAGCCAGGCTGTGCAAAGGTGCAAAAACCCTGGCAGAGGCACAGGGTCGCTGCAGCAGCAGTCACACAAAGACACCTCTGTCTGGGCATCTTCTCTGAGACCTCACAAACACTACGGCATTTTTGGTGAAATCCTACCAAACCATGGGAGAGCAGGAGCTGCGCAGCCTGCTCCAAGGGTGACAGCTAGAGCTGAAGGAGGCAGCACAGCCCCCCTGAGTTTTAGTCACCACAGTTGCACAGACACCAGATTTGCCACTGCACCTCTGTCATAGCAGCCGCAGGTGGGGCTGCCCCCCCTGGCACAGCCGTCTTGCTCAGGTTCTTACTGCTGAGCCCGGGTTTAGAGGAACCAATGCCCTACAAGACACCCAAGCTCCTCCATGCTGTCTTCCAGTTTCTAGGTACTGAAAAACAAGTACCAGTACAGCTGTCGTATCAGTCTGCAGGTTTATTGGGGAGCAGATTTGCCGTAAGAGCACAGAAGAAAAAAAAAGCTGATCAAATTCCAGAGCAGCAGCATGCATGTGCCTCTCACAAGGCACACCATAAACCAGGCAGGCAATGCACAACCAGTAAATATTCCAAACACGAGTCACAGGCTTTGGGCATTTTGGCCAGATCACTGCAGGGTAACCTTTGTGTCATGCTCCGCTCGCCCAGCGCAGCAGGCATCAAATGGATATTGTCAGAGTATGGATCGTTGCGCCTGGCAGATGGAACACTGATGCCCCTTGCTGAGCACGAGCACCCAGGCAGACACCAAGCACGACAGCAGCTCCGACCAGGCATCGAGGCCAGGCAATGCTGCAGCATGACAGTAGATTCAGAACATGGACTATTTACTCACTATCCTGGAAAAGCTGCAGAAAGCCATTGTTAACAGGAATCTTGTGGGTTTTTTTTTTTTTTTCAAAATCCTGGGTTACCCAAGGCGTGACCAAGTTTGATCTTGTAATTTTTTTCATTTAAGATGTGCTGCTGTGGTTTCCACATGGGGAGCAAACTGCCACAATAGATTCGAAGGCTCAAACAGGCCTCACTTTCTCTTTCAGTGCTTGTTTACTGCTGAAACTGGTCTTTATTCCTGCTAGATATCCCAGTGCAGTAGAAAAAAGGTTTGCTTTTTTCCCCTCACCACCTACTCGTATGTTTGTTCAGTCTAACAGTGTTTCCAGTCTTCTGCTGTGATGATCCATGTCAACAAAGTGACTTATCATGCAGTTCTTGACTACAGAATGAGGACAAACCACAGAGTCTAACACACCTACACATAAATAATTAATCCTGCCCGTGTGTATTTGCTGTAGGAAATTAGCTTAATTCAACAAAATCACCTCCAGGATGTGGGCTGATTAAAACCATCCCAGTTCCTGTGACGTGGGTTAGAATTCCCAAGGTCAGCTGTGAGAATCCTTCACCTGAAGGAGGAAAGCTTGAGTGAGCTGCAGAAAGTCTGGTAACAGCTTTCTCTTGCCTCTTGAAACACATTTTCCTAAGGTCCTTCAGAAAGTAGGTGAGAAGACCTTACTTCTTCCCTCAAAAAAGGAAAACACGCCCTGGAACATTTTAAGAAGGTTTCTCTATATTAATAGTCTAAAGAACTAAAAAGTGCAACAAATGAAAGTAGCAATCGTCAAGTTACTACTGATTTCTATAATGTTTAGAGGTTTCTGCAGATATTATTAGTTTAAAAGATGTCAGTGTTTTGAATAACAGCTCATCCTTAAATTTCTGGGCATCAGAAATCATCTCATTTATCATAAGTCTCAAGCACCAGAGAGTAAGCTGTGTCGAATGAGATCAGGGAGAAATGTGAATGCCTGCTAAATACCATCAAGGAATAAAAAGGGCATGTGCAAGTTTTTAGCCATCTACAGGCAGATGGATTTTAAATTCCATTTCAGAGAAAGCAGGAGCTGATCCTTTCACCAAAGGCCATTCAACAATAAATACGAGAAGTGCCTAGTTGGAGAAGACACCAATATTAGTCGTTCCCACTTCAGACATTTTTCATCCACATTACATGGCACACAGCTACAATTACCCAAATGTTAACAGAAGCAGCAGGGTTACTACAGAGAAGTTTTAGTTAAAAATACACATTTTATTTCAATGTGCCAATAAAAAAGTCCCACATTTTTGTATCATAGGAAGTTAATTCATACAATAAAAAGAGACCTGTGCTAGTCTATTGGTGTGACTAACTCAGAAGACCCAGATCACGCCAAATTTTAGTTGATATACTCTTCTATCTACATTCTTACATTTACAAAGACACCACAAAATCCCTTATAATAATGTAAGCAAAATAATTTTCTTCCTAAAAGAGTAACTTCATAACTTTAATCCATTCTTTCAGGACTTGCACTTCTTTGAGGGCTTCCTGATGGTGAACGACTGAAAGGAAAAGAATCCACAGTTAATATTTCAGTAATCATTTGGGATTCACAAATAGAGGAAAAAGAAAGAGGATACCTAGACTACTCCAGCACTCTTTAAGCACTGTATTTTAATAAAATAATCAATCACTATTGGCAAAGTTAATAGGTTGATGATTTAATGTTAGAGACAATACATTTAGTCTGGGTGTGGGTTTTTTTTTTTTTTTACTTTCACATTTTTGCATTTCTCTACTGTTATTTTTATAATATAATTTAAATGTGATCATTGTAAAGTCATCTAGAGGGTACTACTAATAGCAACCTAATAGAAGCAGGATACTTCAGTGTTCTGATACAGCAGCTTGTCAAAACCTATTATGGTGATCACTCAACATTTATGAGCCTTTATTCAGGTCACTTGAGATTATGAGGTTAGACTACATGCAGCCACGTTTTTAAATGATGCAAACCTAAGCATAGAAGTTCTAAAAGTATGACCCCCCCCCCAAAAAAAAAAAAACAGAAAGATCACCAAGGCAAGGGACACATCGTGGCAGGTCTACATCTATTCTTGCTAGGATATATCCCCTCCCCCCAAATCCTGAACACCAAAGTTGTAAAAATGAACTATTAAAGAATTCAAGCTAGGGAAAAAATGCTGCCGATTCTGTCACTACACATATATGCATACATACACACAGATCATTATTTACCAACTTACTGGGGAAAAAAAATAATAATCTGAGTAACAGCAGTAAAAAAATAACAGGCTCAATCTTCCATTCCTGACTGCTACGCCAGGCTACTCGACTCTATCTTCCCTAATCTCACTGGAGCTTTCAGGGAGACTCCAATCTGATTCCCGCATTTATGCTGTGCTCTAAGCTCCCCAGTAGCAAGCCTCTGTGCAATAAAACTGTTGGTGAACTGAAACAAACACAGCAGCAGACAAACGCAAGATGCAACACTGCCACGTAACCAATATTCCAAGCAATTATTACCACATACATATTACCATATACAAACCCACAGTCACAATGTTATTTCTGCCGAAGAGATCTCAGCGAAATACCCTTCCAGTATTTTCCTACAAGCAGCAAACTCCTCAACAGAGATTACTGCAGATACTAAACCACCAGCTCTATGGAGTTTACGTTATTAGTAGGGAGATCAACATACCTTCTCTTTGGAGATGGTGATCGTGACTTTGACCGACTGTCAAAACAGAGTATCATCAATGCAGCTTAGAGATCAAACGGAACTTTTATATCAAAAAAAAATAAGCATCTCAGACAGCAATGGAATTATTATGGGAATCTAGCCAGAAGCTCTTTAAACCAGCAAAGTTTTCAAATCAACTTTTACTCTGACAAAGATTCTCAATTCCTTTAGCGTGGAGATTAAGCAACTCTCTTCAGTAGAGAAAACAGGAAAACAAGGGGTAGTACTGAGGTGAGGCTTTGAGCAAAGAAGCATCATCACAGATTAAATTAGCAATAGCATTAATAAAGCTAAAGCCCTTTACCTGATTGATAAGAGAAATTTAACAGAACTGAGCACAAAGACACAAAAAAATAAGTACTATGTTGGAAACTACAAAGAGTTAATGAAACAGAAGAGATGGGTAAGGAACATATCCAAATAGCTGCAGAGGAAACGTTCTCATCATCTCTGTTGTATCACAAACAGATCAGCTGGGCACCCGTGTCTGGAGGATTTTGCTCTAAGGACCAGGCTCTGTTAATCATGCAAACCTACCACTGAATTCTAGATGCTGCTGCAGGCTTTACCTCTGGATGCTTACCTCTTAGCTGGCGAGCCAGATTTTGATCTGCCATGAGACCTAGACCTACAAGAAGAAAAAAACAAAACAGCAGCTGAGCAGGGAAGCTGGTAGCATGCTCGTTCCCACATTTGAGACAGCAAGATTCACACTAAATGTGTAAGAACGGTAATGCTGAAGAGACAGAATCCTCAGAGTTTCAAAGGCTTTTCCTTAAGGTTCAGAAAACAGCTTAAGTGGACGCTGCACGTGTTGCTGTGCCGTGGACGATGCCTGCTGTTTGCTGATGCAGG